GCCCTAGGGTATTCTACTGTCCCAGCCCTAGAAGCCAGAAGTTAGAGGAGTCAGAAGAAGAAAGGGAATGCATTTAATGCATTCAAACCTTGCATTTGATTAGCACCTGCTAGAATGTTTAAATACCTTATTTACTATGAATCCTGCCAGGTAAGTACCACTATTCCCATTTTACAGAGTTGGAAGCTGAGGCTTGACTACTGGGCCAATAGTGGACTCTGTTCCCTCAAGGTGCCCCCAGAGGGCAGTGAGTCTAGCTGGGTAATGCAGAATTTGGAGTGGGTTAGCTGGGAAGGGCTCTTCTGTAATGGGTCCCTCCTGGGGACAGATGCCCTTTCCTAACTGGGCTCCTTGACTTGGGCCATCTGCCACATCCCTACTGTGAAGTCTGCTCAGGTCAAACGGTTCCTCCTTCAGGAAGCCTCTTCTGATCCCTCCCATGCTGACTTGGTTCTATTTGCTGCTTTTCTGGGCTTCCCCAGCCCCAAGCTTTCCTCTATCTCAGTATTGAGCACATGGTGTCATTGACAAATGAGCCCAAGCCTGTCTCACCAGCCAGGTCAAGAACTTCTTGAGGGCAGGGACCAGGTTTGGTTCACTTTGTTCCTTTTTCCTGCCCCGAGCCGAGGAGACTAGCCCTGAAGTTACTGTCACCCTGTGGGGTACAGGGAAAACCACTTACCTAGGACCACTTGTAAGGCTGAGCAGTCACTGAGGTCAAGGCAGGAGCTTGTGCTGGGGAAGGGACAGGCCCTCTAGCAGCCCCACTTGGACCTGGGACTAGAAGTTTATGACACAAAATGGGCCGCTGCTTCTGGAGGGTAGATATGCTGGCAGCCAGGCCCAGCGGCCCTTCCCTGAGGTTTCAGTGTCCTGCTGTTGTCACCTCACTTCTTGTTCTTTAGAGCCCTTCTGAGATTCCCAAAGCCCAGAATAATAGGCAGAAAAAGCCTCAGGTGTCACCAAATGCAGCCCCACACTCTACCTGGGGAGATAGGCTCAGCAAAGGGAGGGGCCTGGGCACTCAACAGGAAGGGGAACTGGGTGAGTTTTGGGTCGGGGACAGATGAGATAATAGGCAGCAAAGTACTTTCTGGACTACCATAGAAAAGGAGTTACGATGATTTTTAAAATAGTAAAAAATATATATATTGCCACATGGTGGGGGCTGGCAAGGTGCCTGCACCATGCTGGGGGCTTTCTCTCCTTTCCTCCTGCCCAGGCTCCTCTCGTCAGCTGAGGAAACTGAGGCTGAGAGAAGAGATGTGCCTCACCAGGGTTGTACAGATAGGAAGTAACAGAGCAGTACTCGAACCCAGCTTTCCAGGGCTTATAGTGACTCTTACTGCCCTGTTTCCTTTCTCTGTGCAGGTGGTAAAATGAAGTTGGGTGGCAAGTCGTCTGCCCTCCTAAAAAATAAAAATAAAAAGTTGGGCAATGGCATCCTGGCATCCCAGAGAGAGTGGGTAGAGGGTTGTCAAGGGAAGCTCTGAACTTAACTAAGGGCTGACTCCCCCAAGACTCTTTCCCGAGTAAGTCAGTCATGCTGGGGGCTCAGAGCTCAGGCAGTGGTGAGCGCCCTGGAAGAGGAGTGCTGAGAGCTGCCCTGGCCTTCGAGCTCCTTCCTGGACTGAACTGCAGAACTGGGCAGCCCAGTGCAGCTCTGCCTACCAGCAGCCTCCTCTGGGCCTCGGACAGGGGTCCTGAGCACCTGGGCAAGTCTTAGGCTCTGGGCTTGGCCAGCCTTGTGCCCTGACTCAACTCTGAGGGGCTGGTGGCCCAGGGAGCCTTTGAGTATCCAGAGGCGAGACAGGGTATGGGCTCACCTGTAGGATAGCATGTGACTCACAGGACAGTGCCCCCCACACAGTAAATGCTCAGAAAGTGGTGGCTGGTGTTATTTACTCTGCTGTAGGTCTCAACCTTACAGCTGAGGGCCCACTGATCAAACGTGGCTGGCACCAATAGGAAAAAAAACTTGCAATGGTAGTTTTGAGCCTCTGACTATCTGATTTGGGGCAGCTACTCCTCTCCCCCAAGCCTCAGTTTCCTTAGAGGGTACAATGGGGTAAATGTGCCTCAGAAGATTGAATGAGTCAAGGGATCTCTGCGTTCGGCACAAGCCTGGCACACAGCTGGTTCTCCACAGTTAGTGACAGTCATTGTGTTTATGTTCCTTTTGCTGTTCCTTCTTTAATCTGGATGGTCCAGGAGCTGAGGACAGGCTGAGGAGGCCATGCCTGGTGGCTCCAGCTGGCCAAGAGGTTGGGAGAGAGAAAGGGGCAAGGAGCCAGGCAGGACTGGCAAGGTGGCCAGGGTAGGTTTCTGGTTTATATAGGTGCCCAATTTCAGGGGTGTCTCTGGGCCTTTAAGTAGGCCAGTTACTGTGCCTGATGGAGGGCAGTCCATTCCTCCCCTCTCCTTACCTTGGAGCTCTCGAGAGGAAGCCGACAACTGGGCCAGGCAGGGAACCCCCAGGCTGGTGTTCCTGCCCTGCTGGCTTAGCCACTGATTCACCATGACCTCGTGCAAGTCACTGCCATCTTCAAGCTTAGTCTCCCCATCTGGGAATTGGGTGCACTGGACCCTTTTTTCTCTAACAGTATTTGACTTTAGTCTGAATATATGGATCATCACTTCCCTTTCCTTTTAGAAAGGTGACTGAGTCAATTCCTCAGTCCTTTACTAAGCCAATGATGTCTGTGACTCTTCCATTCATTAAAAAATTTAGTGAGAACCTTCTGTGGGCCAGATGCAAGGCAGCCATATCCATCAAACCAGTCCCTGTTTGCTTTGAGCTCACTGTCTAGCAGGTCCCCATATAGACAGCCACAATTCAGGAGCCAAAGCTATGACAGAATAAGCGCAGAGGCTGTGAGAGCCCACAGGAGGCCCCAGCCTGGCCAGCAGTCAGGGAAGTCTTCCTGGTAGAGGAGACCCTGGAGCTTAGCATGCAGATTTTACCATGCAGATCTTGTTGGGAAGGGCATAACCAGCACTGGGAACAGCAAGGAGGAAGCCCAGAGCTGGGGCTGGAAGGGCACAATGGGCATTAGTCAGATATGGTCACTCTGTGGGCTGGGCTGGAATGGGTTGGGAGGAGAGGGGACAGTTTGTTAGGGGCCACAAATAGCCTTGAACCCTGCTGAGAGACCTGGAGTCTGCCCTGGAAGGGTTTAAGCAGAGGGCAGCACTGTCAGAGTGGAATTTGTGAGCAGATGCCAGGCATTTGGTTGGTGGATGGGTGAGAAGGGGTCAGTGAAGACCGAAGCTGGGGCAGGAGTGGGCCTGAGCTGGGTGGTAGTAGAAGTCAGACCAGCTGAGAAAAGCTGGGGTTTCTCATATGCTAGAAAAGATGAAAGGAAGGCTGCATTTACATGGAAAGAATTCTGGCCCCAGAAGGCACATGGGCTATAAGGACAAAAGTGGGGCCTTTGGTTGTTAAAATATCTGGGCTCAAAACCCAATTCTGTTCCTCACCAGCTGGGTGATTTTGGAACCTCCCTTACCGTCTCTCGGCTTGGGTTTCTTAAATAGTGGTGATAATACTGATGCGCAGGCTATTGTGAAGATCCAATGAGACTATGGGTCTGAAAATGCTAAACAAAATCTAAAATGCTGAGTGGGTGCTGGAGAAGGATGAGTTGCTTTCTGGATTAGAAACCAGTGTTAATGTGACTCGATGGGTCTCACACAGTAAAATCATTGTGTTGTCATCAAAGAACATGGGTTGGGACCCTGGCCATCTTTCCCCCTGTCCCTTACCCTTACCCCATCTCCAGAGGCAAATCGGGACCTGGCCATGGGAAGTGAAGCCACTGACAGGGTGGGAGTGGGTAGCAGCAGCAGAAAGGAGGATGCTCCTGGGGAATGTCACTGAGGAAGCAGGCTCTGGTCCCCAGAGCTGTGCCCCATGGGAGGAGGGCTTGAATGAGACCTGAGAGTGAGAAGCTAAAGCTGATAACAAGAAGGCAAACTACATTTTTTCCCTTCTGGAAACAATCCCTCCAAAGTGGGTTAATCTAGTGTGCCAGCTGAGTCAATGTAACTACCCAGGACCATAGAAGGAGCCCAGGATGTGGAACCAAGAGGCTTGGCTCCCAGCTCTGCTCTGTTCCTTACGGTCTCTGGGTCACTCTAGATGACCTGTGGCTCAGTTTCCTGTAAAACAGGTTAATAATCAGTACAGGGGTTTTTTTTGTTTGTTCATTTGTCCTTCTAACCTTCTGTCACCTCTCTGTCTGTCTACCGATCAAAGCCTCCTTGAGCCCCTCTCTGATGCCAGTGCTGTACTGGGTGCCAGGAACAGGGGCAGAGAGCAGGATGAGGGTCATCCAGATATGGGGTGATTAGGCTGGGATGGAGGAATATGGAACATCCTGGAAGGTCCTGGGAGAAGCCAGGCCTGGTGGGAGCTCAAGTCATCCTTCCTAGAGGCATGTGTCTGATTCTAGCACCTACCGTACCCACTAATGCCTGCTGCTCTCCCTGCTTCCCCCTCCCCAGGTGAACAAAGAGGCCTTATGCCAGTGCCTTGGCCTACTCCAGGTCCCCTCGGTACTCCCGCAGGACATCAAGGCCCTCAACCTGTCTGGAAACCAGCTACAGAGCATCCTGGCCTCCCCTCTGGGCTCCTACACAGCACTTAGTCACCTAGACCTGAGCTCCAATGAGATCAGCTTCCTCCAGCCAGGTGTCTTCCAGGCCCTGCCCCACCTGCAGCACCTCAACCTGGCCCACAACCGCCTAGCACTGAGCACTGGTGGCCTGGGCCCCCTGCTGCACGTGAAGTTCCTGGACCTGTCTGGGAACAGCCTGTACAGTGGCCTGGTGGAGCAGCTGCTGGGGGAGGCGCCAGTCCTGCGCATCCTCACACTGGCGGAGAACAGCCTGACTCGCCTTGCCCGCCAGACCTTCTGGGGCACACCTGCACTTGAGCACCTGGACCTACATAGCAACGTGCTGATGGACATTGAGGATGGCACTTTCGAGGCCATGCCCCACCTGACCCACCTCAACCTCTCCAGGAACTCCCTCACCTGCATCTCCGACTTTAGCCTCCAGCAGCTGCAGGTGCTGGACCTGAGCTGCAACAGTATCGAGGCCTTTCAGATGGCCCCAGAGCCCCAGGCCAGGTACCAGCTCACCTGGCTTGACCTGCGGGAGAACAAACTGCTCCACTTCCCTGATTTGGCCGCACTCCCCAGACTCACCTACCTGAATGTGTCCAACAACCTCATCCGTCTCCCTGCGGGGCCACCCCAGGGTGACAAGGCCATCCATGCACCTTCTGAGGGCTGGTCAGCCTCACCCCTCTCGAACCCTAGCCGGAATGCCAGCACCCACCCCCTCTCCCAGCTCTTGAATCTGGATTTGAGCTACAATGAGATTGAACTTGTCCCCGAGGGCTTTCTTGAGCATCTGACCTCCCTGCGTTCCCTGAGCCTCAGCCGAAACTGCTTGCGGGCCTTTGAAGCTCGGCGTGCAGGCTCCCTGCCCTGCCTGGTGCTCCTGGACATCAGCCACAATGCGCTGGAGACACTGGAGCTGGGCACCAGAGCCCTGGGCAATCTACGGACGCTGCTCCTACAGCACAATGCCCTGCGGGACTTGCCCCCATACACCTTTGCTGGCCTGGCTAGCTTGCAGAGGCTCAACCTACAGGGGAACCGTGTCATCCCCTGTGGGGGGCCAGGGGGGCCTGGACCCTCAGGCTGTGTGGACTTCTCTGGCATCTCCTCCCTCCGCATTCTAAACTTGGTGGACAATGAGATGGAGATGCTCAGGGCAGGTGCCTTCCTCCATACACCGCTTACCGAGCTGGATCTCTCTTCTAATCCTGGGCTGGATGTGGCTACAGGGGCCTTGGCGGGCCTGGAGGCCTCCTTGGAGGTCCTGGCCCTGCAGGGCAACGGGCTGGAGGTCCTGCAGGTGGACTTGCCTTGCTTCAGCTGCCTCAAGCATCTCAATCTCGCCGAGAACCGCCTAAGCCGCCTGCCGGCCTGGACGCAGGCCGTGTCTCTGGAGGTGCTGGACCTGAGGAACAACAGCTTCAGCCTGCTGCCAAGCAGTGCCATGGGTGGCCTGGAGACCAGCCTCCGGCGCCTCTACCTGCAGGGGAATCCACTCAGCTGCTGTGGCAATGGCTGGCTGGCGGCCCAGCTGCACCAGGGCCGTGTGGACGTGGATGCCACCCAGGACCTGATCTGCCGCTTCAGCTCCCAGGAGGAGGTGTTCCTTAGCCATGTGCGTCCCGAGGACTGTGAGAAGGGGGGGCTCAAGAATGTCAACCTCATCATCATCCTCACCTTCACACTTGTCTCTGCCGTTGTCCTCACCATGCTGGCCACCTGTTGCTGTGTCCGCCAGCAGAAGTTCAACCAGCAGTACAAAGCCTAGAGAATCCAGACTGCAGAACAGCTCAGCCAGACCACTCTTCCAGGAAAGTGAGGGAGCCGGAGGCACAGAGGAGGGTGAGGTCTCACTCAAGGTCACACAGTGAGCCAGGGTCCCAGAACCCTGGTCTCTAAATCCCAGCCCAGGGCTCCCTTCCCTTCATCCTGCTGCATCAGTAGGCGACGCACTTCCCCGGCCGCACATGTGGTCCAGCTGTGGAAGCTGGAAGTTGAGCAGTACTGGGAGTGACAAAGAATGAGAATGACCCATCAGATCAACAAATCTTCACCAGACAGCTGTATTGTGCCACACCTTGCTCCGGGCACTGGTGACACTGGTGAAAGAGACACACCCCTGCCTTCAAGCATCTCCTGGTCTGGATGGGGAGGCATCACAGAGCTGGGTAGCAACCACACAGAGTGTGGAGCCCAGGGCTTCAGAGCTTGGTAGCGCAAGCTGAGTGCGGAGAGTCCTGCCCCGCCAGGCTAGGGCCAGGGAGGGGAAAGACCAAGAGGATTTGTCTGAGACCTTTCCAAGCAGACTGTCTGTCACATCGTCTGATAATGACTTTCAGCTTCTCTGGAACATGAAGGACTTGTAACTGGAAGAGAACTGGAGCCACATGAGTACGTCTTAGATCCAGCACTATCAGACAGGCTGTGACGGCTCCAGTAGGTCCTGATTAAAAGGCTATTGCCCTGGGATCCGGCCAGCACTGGACTGTTCTGTTTCCTGCTCTGGACAGACTTTTTGCCCACCTGGCACTCTCGTGTTGCACACACTGGCCCAAATGCTGCCTACGCCCGCACTCCCTGCTCTGTCCCAGCCCCAGCCTGGCTGGGAGACAGGAATTAAAGCCTAGGTCTCTGGTTCTGTTTTGCACCAGGCTTGGCAGCTGTAACAAGCCCAAGCCTTCATCTGCCTCTGTATGACAACCCTCTGAGGTTGGTACTTTATCCCATTTTATAAAAGAGGCTCCAAGTCTCCCTCTAGGATGTCCCAGCTCAGAAGACATACTGAGATTCCGAATCACGTCATCCTGACTCCAGGGACAGAGCTTTGCCACTGCGGGGCTGCAGGCTCAGGTGGACAGAAGTGCCCCCATTACTGGAGCAGGGCCTGGGAGCATCCTGTGCTGTACATCCCACCAGCTCCTTTCCCTCCACTCTCTCAGGCAGGCAGAGAGAAGACAGGCAGCCACAGGCCCTCTCCTTCTCTGCCTCAGTTTCCCTCATTCCCTCCTTTGCAGACTGGCGTGGGTTCTCCTTTTTCTCTTCTCTTGCATTCCCATTCTCCAATGAGCATGGTCTAGAGCGTGAGACCATTGAGTCCCACCTCCTCATTGCACAGATAGGGAAACTGAGGCTTAGGAAGAGAAAGGGACTTGCTCAGAGATGCACAAGTCAGTGGCAGAGCCTGTGGAGAAAAATAGATTCAGACCTCAGCAGGGGTTCAGGGAGGAGGGTGCAGGGGGGTATTAGGGATTGGACCTGAGTGGTTTCCTTCTCTTTTAGCTGTCACATCACAAGATAACGCTGGCTCCAAATGCTCTTTCTGGTTCTCATCATGCAGGGATCCTCCCACTAGAAAAATGGGTAAAAAAAAAAACCTTCTAGATCTAACCCCCTGCCCCTTATACCCAAGGAAGCACGAGCTGTCCCAGAAGAAAGGAGGCCCTGGGACCAGCCCAGGACTCTGTGCTGTTGTCTTCACCTCCCACCTGTGCTTGGCCATGGTCTGGCTCAGGACGGTGCTGGGTAAAGTGTGAGACAGTGAAAACTCTGCTCTCTCTGCCCCATTTTACAGATGAGAAAACTGAGGCCCAGAGAGGGTCAAAGACTCAGGGAGTCAATAGCAGAGCCAGGGCTAAAACTTGGTGTGCTAGCCCCATCTGGGGCCCTGGGGGCCTGGGGGCCTGAGGGGCAGCTCAGGGGACCCAGTCCTGGTTGGGATTGCGACTACGGGTGCTCACTGCACACATTCTTTCTCAGGCTTGGGGGCAGATGTGGGCCCCTCCGCGCTTGATCTTTGAAAACACTACAAATGCTGCTCTCACCTCCAAGGAACCAGGCCATAGCCCAGGTCTTGGGACCAGCTCTTTGTATAACCCATGTGAATGTATTAAAAAATAATTTTGGAGGAACAGTGCACCCTGCCAGCCTACTTCTTGCTTTAGGTAATGGGCCCCATTGCATCCACTCAAACCTTGCCCTCCTCTACTCCCATTATGGTCTTTGAACCCTCATGGCAAACCCCTGGGGGTTGAGGACCTCTAGGTGGGAAATTGTGGCTCTGGGTCATCACCACTCTGGATCTCAGGGCCTCAGCCCCAATCACATCCTTTAACATTCAACAAACCCTGCTCCCCAGCCCACCTCCGAGGAAATGGCTTTCAGTAGTTACAGTCTGGCCCTTTCTCTGTACTCACCCCTTCTGCCCCTTCCTCGGGATCTTCTCCCCCTCCTCTCTCGTTTGCTGCCTCACTTTCTGCTCTCCTCAGCCCCTCCTCTCTTCTTCCTCTCAGACCAGCTTTGCTCAAGTCATGCCCATCTTAAGATAGTGAGAAGATCCTTAAACCACTTGCCCCTCCTCCTACTTCATGGGGAAACTTCTTGATAAAGTAGCTTCCCCACCTTCCCCCGCATTCTCAACCCACCCAGGCTGCCTTCAGCCCCCCAGAGTCCCACACTGCCCCGGCTAAGGTCACCAAGAGTGTCCTTTGCCAAACTCAGTGCACTTTTCAGTCTGTACCCCCTTGACCTCTCAGCTGTGGAGGCCCCTCACCCCTATCCTCCCCATCACCCGCAGCCTCCCCTTGGCACACCCTCCAGGCATCTAGACTCACGCTGGATTTTCACCTTCCTCTCAGGTCACTTTTCAGGCTCCACTGTGTGCTCATCTGCCTTGATCAAGCCACCTGAATGGCAACTACTAGGATCCTGTCCCAGGGAATGTCATTGCCCTTGTTCCCATAGCCACCCCATTGCTCTGACGATGCCCACATCTCTATGTCCAGCCCAGGCCCTTCTGAGCATTCAGCCCTGCTACTCTGGTACCCAGAAGCCTCCCCAGCTAGAGAACTAAAGGTCTCCCAGTGGCTGGAGAATTGAGAGTGAGCAGCCGGGCTGCAGTTCAAGGTTGACCTTGGGAGAAGAGCCAGGATGGTCCAGAAGAAGAGGACTCCTGGTTTCTGGAAGGGAGTGGGAAGGTTAAGGTGTGAGCTGTGAGGTCTGGAAGAGGGGACAAGAGCCACCTTACTTGGGGTGGGGGCCAGGCAAGGGGCTTTGAGGCAGAGTCTAGAAAGCTTAGAGTGGCTCCCCAACACACACTTCTCAGTAGACCTCATGTGGCCCTGCTTCCCCTTCTCAACTGCCTGACACCCAGACACCGCCTGTGCCAACCTCACCTCCCCCAAGTTCCAGCTTAATGATGCTCCACCCCACCCCCATACCCGCAAGCATCCTGGAGATTTCTCCCACCCAGCCTCTTCTCTGGTCTGTGACCTCTCACCTTCCAACTCCTGCTCCCAGTGCCTACACTCCAGAGGAAATCTTTAAATGCTTATTTCATGGATGGGGCTGGGCAGCTAGAGAGCATGTGAATCAACACCCTGACACACAGTAGGTGCTCAATGAAGGCCTAAGGGAAGGCCCTAGCAAGGCTGAACTCAGCCCAGCACTTTGCGGACCTCCCACCCAGCCAGGAGCCCATCAAGCCCCTGATCCCTCTTCCTGGCAAACAAGGGTGTTTGTTCACCTGGTCAAGACCCCCAGTGAGGCAGAAATTCCTGTTTTCAGCCAAATGTGGACATAGCTGCCAACTAGGTCATCAGTCCATCCGGCAAGGGCCAGGGAGAGGGGAGACCCTCACCCGCCTAGCAGCAGACAACCTGCGGTTCCAGGTCACCAGGCTCCTTCAGCTCAGTGAACTGCTATGGCATTCCAGGAGGCCCAGCAGGAGCCAGGCTTATAAGCCAGGTGGGAGGGGAGGTGGGCAGCACCATGGCCCAAAGCTGCCTCACCTTCCCAGTCCCCTGTCCTGGCACAGCCCCCAGGACCCAGGATCCACTGTCTGTGTTCTGTGCCCCTGGCATTTGGGCAGCTTCAAGGTCAGGTCCCCGAGGCCTTCTAGCCCCATCTCTCTCTGACCACCTCCTACCTTGCGCTCAGATCTGATAATTACCAAGCACTTCTGTGCAGGCCTTGCTATGAGCGCTTGAAACATTGTCGTCTGTAATTCTAACAATCTTTGAGAAGATTTATATTATTATCAAACTCATTTTAGAGAAACTGAGACTCAAGTTCCCACAGCTGGAAAGTGCCAAGGCTGAGACTTAAAGCCAGGTTGGCCCCACTCCAGAGCCAGCGATCTCAACCATTAGGCAGCACTGCCTCCAGACCCTCCCAAGCCCAGGCTCTCCCCCACTTCCTCCACCTGCAGTGTCTCACCCGCCCTGACCCCACCTGCCAAACTCCTCCTTTTTCAACCACGGTCCGCATCACCTCCTCTGGAGAGAATGCCCTTATTTCCTTCCTCCACCTGCTCAAAACCACAGCATTGGGACGTCTGCCAGATCTGCCACCAGCCTGGGAGCTCCTGGAGAGAGATCCTACTGGAGTCCTTTCTGTGTCCCTGGGACCCATGAGCCAATGCAGAAGGTGAGTTCAGAAAAGGTTCCCTGACTGGATGACCCCTGATCCGCAAGACTTAAAAACTTGTGGAGATTAAGACCAGCCCTCAGACAGGCTTCTCAGGCAGACCCAGGGGACACAGAGGACACAGAGGGGGATACAGGGTGTGGGCTGCCCAAGAGCAGCAGTGGCCAGTGGTACCACAAAGAAACAATCGTTTCTCACCTCCCTCCATTTCCCTCCAGTTTCTTCTCCCCTCTAGGACCCTGTCTTATCTCTCTCCCCCTCCCCCTACTCTCCTCTTCTCCTTTTCTTCCCTTGGTCATCTCTCTTCCCTCCCCCTTCTTACTGGAAGCAGATGCGGCTGTGGTGGCTGAGAACTGGGTAGGGTGAAAGGGAGGGAGGACCGAGCTGTTTATAGGAACTGGAGCAGCTCCATCCATCAGCTCTGTTTGGAGCTGGAGACCAAGCATAATAAATACCTTGGCTCCTCCCCAGCTGTGCTTTCCCTGAACTTGGCCGTTTGAACTCTAAAGCTCTCTGGCCTCCTGGTTCTCAGGACCCAGCTCCCAGTCCACTCACCCTGATCCCACCTCCCACCAAGCTGCCCTGGAAAGAGCCCTGCCTCTGGGATCAGAAACTCAGGCCCAAGTCTAGGCTCTGCCAAGGCTTTACTTTGGGAACAAAGGCAAATCAAGCCACTTGCCTATGCCTCCAGTTCCCTATCCATAAAATGGAGTCAAAACCACTGTCCCTCACATGCACAGCAGCCAGAATGGCTCAGGTATCTGTTCTGTGCTGGGTCCTGCTGAGATCCCTGGGAACAGTGAGAGCCTCTGCCTGTCGGGTGGAGGGAGGGGCCACACCGCAGCGCAGGCAGGAAGCGGTCAGCACCACGAGGGAGGTCCAGATTTTGTGTTCGGGGATTTGTTTGCAGCAGGGAGTGGCCCTTCCAGCTGGAGGAGTGAGGTGGACTTCTAGGACATCTGGGCTGGCCCAGCAAGGAAGGGCAGGATTTCAACTTTGTGAAGATGCGGAGAGGCTGTTCCAGACAGAGCGAACGCATAAGCAAGTTGGACAGTGGGAAGATGTGGTCCTGGATGGGGCAGAGGGGAGTCTGTCTGTGCCCAGCTCGATCCTGTCACTCTCAACTTTGTCCCCTTTGATTCTATAGCACCTTCTGCTTTGACCTTCCAGCCTTCTGGAATCTTCCCTCCTTCCCTGGAGAATTTCCTACTCACCCAGCTCTCCCAAGCTGTGGATGCATTCCTGGAATTATGCAGTCATGTCCCCACTCCCACCTCCCCCGATAAAGCCACCCTAGAAAACAGGAGACTCAGATCCAAGGAAAAGTCATTAGCCAATAGCACATGTTTCTGGAATGAATAAGGGAATAAATGAATGAATGAAAGAGTGAGTCAATGAAAAAGAGTAAGTGAATTACTGAATTCAACTGAAATTTAAGCCCCTACTACAAACCATGCAAGGTGCTCTACTCATAAGATCCCTCTGCTCATGGTGCTCACTGCTTATTGGGGAAAATACACATTAAACACACACACACATATACACAAATTATGATGAGAATCATAAGAGGAAATAGTAGGGAGACATAATGAGACGAGTGGACTCAAGGAAATCCTTTCTGAGGATGTAATCTGTAAGCTAAGACTGCAGGAGGATTTAAGTTGAGTGAGTGAGTGAATTAATATTCCTTCTAACATTTTCCCCTCACTCTCATGAATTTGCCAGAATGAGTGGGGAGAGAAAGAACAACACTCTAGACCAAGGGTGGGGAACCTTTTTTCTGCCAAGGACCATTTGGATATTTATAACATCATTCTCGAGCCATACAAAATTATCAACTTAAAAATTAGTTATGAAAAAAGCTCCTAGATTTATTGAATTTCAAGTCCCGCCTGCAGTTGCCTTGGCAGGGCCAGGCCAAATAATTTTGCGGGCAAAATATGGAAGGTCACATGGCTGTAGAAGAATAGCAAAAGAAGGTCTCTGAGGAATCAATCATTGTAAGGGTACAATCATTACCTAGCAATGCTGCAAGGTAAGAGAGTCTAGTTCCAAAGGCCTCTGCTTTTAAATTTCGAGGTGGGGAAGTAGGATGGTCTTGGCTCCCTCCTCCAGTCCTACACCACCCATGTTAGCTTGTACCAACCCTCCTCTTTCACTCTAGGTAACTTATTAACATTCACAAATACACTTATGCATGTCTCAGTGTTTTATAGAAATAGGATTATATTATGTACATTTCCTGCATCTTGATTTTTTATTCAACAATATACTTCAAAAAATCCTCCCAAACAAAATGACATAGCTCTGATTCATTTTGACAGTACATAATAATCCATTGTGTGGATATTCCATAATTTATTCAGCCATTCACCAATTAATGAACATTTCACTTTGTTATATTTTCTTGAAACTATAAACATGCTGCAAAAATATCCTCTTTCCTGTGCTTATAGTCTCTGGGACTTGTATTTCTGTCAGATGA